CCGTTTACAGGATGATAGGAGGGCAAACAAATGTCTGGATCATAAGCAAGCACCCACAGCTCACTGTCAATAGACTTTTGCTCTCTAGACTACATAACAGGTTCCTTTCCTTGAACTTTGGACTTTGAGACCATAGAAGTACATTCTTGAATTTAAGCAGCTAGCACCTTTGCGGTTAAGGTGATTGATCAACTCAGCAGAGATCATCTTGGAAACATCTGAGTCAACAGTCTGGTTTACAATTCTGACTTTAGGACTCTCCGAAGACCAAGCCCTTTCACATTTCTATTAAAAAAGGCAGGCTTGTTTTAAGAATATTTGCCAAAAAATGAGATATCCCCAAGAAATCTGTCCATCATTTCTCTCTTGACTTTTTAAACGATTACCTATTTATCTTGTTCTTCAGATGCAGTTTCCAAGATTTGCTGAGTTGATCAGTAACCTGAGCAAGGAGACCCAAGCAATTCAGGCTCCGGGGTTGTTTTCGTTTTTTGTTCAGTGCGGTCATAATTCAAGAGTTGACCCCGACGGGAAAAGCCTTACCAGGCCCGTGCTTTGCACTTCAGAGCACGGATGGTAAAACTGGGTGGAGAGGTGGTGGAGCCAGGAAGCTAAAGCATCAGCTGCCATGTAGAGGGATTGATAGGGGAGTTCTCTTAGGAGCTGAGTCTGGGGGAGAAATCGATGCTCACACAAATCAATTGGGAGAATCTCCTTACAAGCAACATCTTAAATTTTATTTGGTGGAAGGGCCTCTGCATCTGTGAATCACAAAGGAAAAGATAATTCAACAGGGATAGACCTCCTGCCACTCAGTTGCACACTTATGGGTTTCTCCTGTAAATTGGACAATGGGGTGGGGTGGGGGCTGGCCCTATCATTAGACAAAGTGAGATGGTGACCTCAGGGCGGAGATGCTGGTAGGGTCACCTCAGCTAACTTCAGGGCTAGCCTAAGATATTTTGCTGCCTGGGGCAAAGGAGAAGATTTCGCATACTCTGCTTCCATATAAAGACACAAACTGGGCTGGCAAATTAAATCTGACTTTGGCACTGTGTATGGGACAGCATCCTCCATTGCCCCTGAGACCAGCACACTAGTTTAAGGGGTGTGTTCCTGGTGGCAGTGGACTCGCTATGGGTTTTAGCCTGCACATTAAAGCAGCTATCCAAGGTGCTGAACCTGCTTGGGAGGTTCAGCACCTTGGATAGTTCCAGTAGAGGTGGGTTCAGCAGATTGGCTAGCTCTGTAAAGTTTGGACTAAAACCCACCGTTCCGTTCTCCAATTGAAGGGAATTACTATGGGGAGCCAGCAGAGACGGTCTGAGTTGATCCTTTGCTGCACTCAGGTTCTGCTGGCTGAGGTGGTTGCTTCACAGTCTAATGGCAGGGCTACTCCCAGCTGATCACCTGCCTTCACGTGCAATGACGGATGCTGTCCTCTTACCTGTGCAGAAGCAGGATTCAACTGCCTTTCCAGCTGGCTTTTGCTCCAAGAACAGGAGAGGATGCCATTTTGTTCTTAGCCTTAGGCAGTGAAATATCTTCAGCGGAGCTTGGAAATCAGCCTCAGGGTCTCCTGCTGGAAAAATTACTTTTCTTAAACTACGGAAACCAGCATCTTTCAGATCGCAGATCCGTTTGCCACGCCGGGGGGGGGCGACTCTTGGAACTTTAGGACAACAGTCCACAAGGCACCTTTTTTACAGGTCTAATACAAGCCTTCAAATATTTTTTCCTATGACCTGCTGCATAGATATCTTTCCAAGAGCCACACAGTCTGCATGGTTATGCAGAAAGAAGTTCAGTGAGTCTGAGGCTCAAGTAAATATGCCTAGGGGCAGAGTTTTAACGATGGGACCTTCTGACCTCAAGCGCTTCCTGGATGTCATCTACCCATCACCGCAGATTTGTTAAACAGTATCACCCACAATATGCGGATAACACCCTTGGCCTCCCTCAAACCACAAGCTGCAGTGAGGATTATTGAGATAATGTGGGTGAAAAACTGCAAAAGTACTCTGCATATAAATGCTGTTAAACACCAGCTTATCACTCCTGCTGTAAAATTCTCAGTGCTTCTTTAATAGGCTTATTAGCTACGAGCAATATCCTACTAGAAGCATAAGCTTGTTACATCCTGTGTCCTACAGAAGCATCAGGGTCGCCAACTTTTACCAGTCCCAGCTCCTGTGCTTTAAAAAGCGCCTTCACTTTATACTAGACATTGATTTGGCTTTTTGCAGGGAAGGGCTGGGGAGAAGGGTGACTGTTTTGAACAGGGTTTGCAAGATGTGTTAAAAGCACAGAATCAGGCCAGGCTACGTTTTTGATGAGCCGACAAATCATGCTGGAAGAACTTCACCCTGCAGTCAGTCCTGGTGTCTGCAAACTTATGCCACTGACGAGCGCACACATACAATAATATGGACCAACTATTGCGTCCAGGCAGTGCTGCAAAACATGACATTAGCTTGATATTTCGGTGACATTCCAACAGCGCTGCAGGCTTATGCATCAGTGTGAATACTACAGATTACGACGCAAGTGGATAGTCTAATAGACTTACAGACCTGGGAAAGACACTATGGCCCATTTACTCCAACTGCTCGTTAAAGCAGAATGTTTTCTACCTTTTGCAAATGCCCTGGAAATCTCCAGCACAAAGGATCGCATGACCTCCTATTTAATTACCAGGTTGCCCTGACTGTTCGGAGGCATGCCTTAACCTAATGGCACATTCCTGCAAAGCGATGTGATTTGCGTTCGAACCGCATGAATTCCCCAGGTGGTATTAGGCAGGCCGCTTTCTCCGCTTCAGAATGTCAGTTGCAATATGGAAGTAATGATACCAACACATCCTACTCCCTACAGGAGCACACGTGTATTACTATTATTATTCCAAAAAAATTATGAACTTCTCAAAAGACTCTGCCAATGGGCTGTTGAGCGGTCCTGGGTCTTATGAGATGTAAGCCTGCCATCTCGTACTGCCTCACTCGGTGGGATTTAATTCTGATTCACTGTGCATCAGGACTGCAATCGTATAGGATTTGCTTCTTGCTACTCATTCCACGGATTCGGGAGCTGGTTTTTCGCTAGAGAAATGGCACGGTCTTAATTGCACTTTGGCAGCAGAAGCCTCTGGCCAGATTTATTCAGTAGCAAATAGCACCAGGCTGGGAGAGACTTACTCCCTTCTAAGCATAGTTAGGATTGGCTTGCTAAGGAGGTGTCTCCATTGTTGATTGTTAAATGATGCTGCCCTCACAGGAGAAAGCAAATCCTTCCTCCATGTCTTGCTGGATCAGTGCCCTCAACAAAGCCATTCTCTCTTGGTTCTGGACAGGTGGTTCATTTGTAAGGGCAAGGGGGAAATGCCCCACTTCCCCCTGAGGTTCCCCAGCCATCCTGCCCCTACCCCTATCCTACCCCTGCCTCCCTCCTATATATGTGTGAATGCCTTTTGCTGTGCATGTAGGAGAGACAGGACACCCATTTTTGACCCATCTCCGCTGATCATAGTTTGCTTGTAGCTTTCACTCTTGAAGTCACGATGCACCACAATGCAGCCACCACCGCTGGTCTCCGCTCCCCGCCCCATCCCTGCAGATGATCCGCAGACCAGTGCAGGTATTGCACTGATAAAAGGAACAGACTGCGGGAAAAGAACCAGGGAGAGATTGGCTGGACATGAGGGTGGGGAAACAGGAGACCTAAGGCAGGGAGCAAACTCTGAGGAGCGGAGGACCGTCTCCTCCGACCCCTTCTCAGCATCTGCAGCCTGAGGCAACCACATCACTCTGCTTAGGTTAAGTCCAGCTTCAGAAACAGGGATACACATCATTTCCCTATTAGAAAAGCTTAGTGGGTGATCTTTGGACAAGTTACATCCTCTCTCTCCTCAACCGACGTCACAGTCGTCTGTTTTAAAGATAAACTAGGGAAATCCTTAGAAAAGCCAGCTGCTTTGGCCCTGATCCAAATGCAACATTCTGTGCATATTTAACAAAACTAATTATGTGGGATCAAGTCGATTCCCACATAATTAGTATAGTGCAGGCACCTTCCCACAGTTTTCTAGGTACAGTCTCAGAACTGGATTATCGGTCTACATACTTACTTGGTAGCAAACCCTTACTCAATGCCCTGGGGTCTAGTTCAAAACAGACAACACAGGTGATTGCACTTTGAAACCATAAAAAAGAATTTTTTAATATCTGAACTATCACGAAATTATTCCAATAGGTTTGAGTAGCATATTTAAATACTTGACAGGGGTTTATGGCAACAACCCTCGGAGTTAGGCAATCATGGTTTCTCCTTAACAGACCTAATTCTTAAAAGACAGAAATGTGAATTTCCCCGCAAAATAACATCTGTCCACAACAATCACAACAACAATCAACCAAGGACATGCAGTACTGTATATGCATTGAGCCAACGTTTATTCATTATTTAGTCATTATTTATAGATATTTATTTTAAATATTTTAACCTTCTTTTCTCCTTAAAAAGGACGTAGGGCGGCTTAGAACAATCGAATGATAATTTTTAAGGGAGTCACCACGAGTAGAGAATACGAAAAGGATCAAAGAATGCAAAAAAATATATATGATAATTTATGCAAATTAGTCCTTTTAATGCAAATATATTCTCCCACTTCTGCTCTCCGGACATTCCGCAACAGAGTACACAGAACCCTGCCTCGCATTCCCCTTGTCCCTGATTGGTCGGCGCTCAGGAGGCGGGCGTAGAGCAGCGCCGCGCTCGAAGCCGATCATCTGTTTTCTTTAATTTTCACTGGCTTACAGCGCTGTCTTTCACAAAGATTCTCCCACCCACCCCTCGTCTCCGCCTTTCCATTGGCGTTTGCTGATTGACGCCATCGCCGCTTTGACGGACGGATCGAGGGATGAGTGGGTGGGCGGGGACGCGGAAGGGCCGAAGGCGTGGCTTCGGGGAAAGCCCCCGCCTCCTCTTCCTCGCGGGGCTCCTCCCCCTCAGGGGGCGGGGCGGCTGCCGCTGGGGCCGAGGCGTCTGGCGCGGCAGTTGCTCCTCAGCGGCGGCGGCGAAGGGAAGGATGGCGGCGGCGATGATGGTGATGATGATGGTTGCGCCTACGACGAGCACCCCCGAGCGCCTGGGTTGGTCGCTGCTCTTCCTCCTCGGGCTCACCGGCCCGGCGGCCACCCTGGCCGGTTACATCGAGGTAAGGCGCGGCTTCTCGTGAGGAGAAAAAAAAAAGGGTCGGTTTTTCCTGAGGGGAAGGCAGGCGCCTCAGCGGTCGCCCCTTCCTCACCGACCTTTCCCGCCCGAAAAGGGAGCCCTCCCTGAGGCCGTGGCTCGCCTGGCCGCCTCCCTCGGTCCCTCCGTCCTCCTCCTCTGCCCGGTAGCCGAAGCCGTCGAGCTTGGCCTTCGAGGTTCTCGAATTGAGGGGAAAAAAGGCGGGTTTTC